ATGAAAGTTTTATGATTTGCAATGAATCAAAACCTTTTTTGTATATTAGACTTTTTTCTATAATTCCTAGTAATATCAAATTTTACTTTAATTAAATGTTAAAACTGTTAAAAAATATATATTCATTAAAAAAAGTTAGATATTTCGAGCTTAATTGATCAATTTATATGCATTGCATAGGTACTGGTCATTTACGGTTGCTCATTTGATCAGCATAAATAACTAAATAAACTTTAAAAATTAAGTTTCAATCAATATTCGACTAGCGAAATTGATTAAATTTTTAATTTATCACGGTTTTAATTCATTCCTACAATTCAAATTAATTTTTATTTCAAATTTAAATATCAAATTCTGTGAAAATTTAATGATTAATTAGAGTTTTGTATATTAAACAGTAAGATGAATCCCTGTATTGTCAAAATTTATTTTAATTAAATGTTAAAATATTATAAATATCAATTCTTTAAAAAAAAAAAAATAGATAATTTGAGCTTAGTTGATTAATTTATGAGCGTTCCATAGTACTGGTTATTTACGGTGTAGTCATTTGACCAACATTAATAATAAAATAAGCTTTAATAATTAACTTTTAATCGATATTTTATTAGCAAAATTAATTAAAATCTTTATTTGTCATGGGTTTATTTCATTCTTACAATTATAATTAATTTTTTTCCAAATTTAAATACCATAATTTATGAAAATTGTATAATTTTTGAAAGTTTTGGTATATTAAACTATGAAATAAATTCCGGCATTGCCAAATTTCACTTTAATTAAATGTTAAAACTATTAAAAAATATCAATTCGTAAAGAAAATTAGATATTTTGAGCTTAATTGAATAATTTATAAGCGTTGCATGGGTACTGGTCACATACATTGTGGTCATTTGATCAGCATAAATAATTAAATAATGCTTAGGCTTAGGCTTAGGGTGTACTTAGGCTTAGGCTTAGGGTATACTTAGGCTTAGGCTTAAGCATTATTTCAAATCTAAAAATTAATTTTGGTGAAAATTTTATAATTTGCAACAGTTTTTGTATATTAAACGAGGAAATAATTTCTAGTTTTATCAATTTTGATTTTAATTAAATGTTAAAATATCGAAAATCATCAATTAATTAAAATAAAATGGATATTTTGAACTTAATTGATTAATTTGTGTGCATTGCATAGGTACTGGTCGCATACATTGTGGTCATTTGACCAGCATAAATATTTAAATAAACTTTTATAATTAAGTTTTAATCAATATCTGATTAGCAAAACTAATTAAATTTTTAATTTGTCACGGTTTTAATTCATTCTCACAATTAAAATTAATTTTATTTCAAATTTAAATATCAAATTTTATGAATATTCAATGATTTATAAGGTTTTGTATATTAAACTGTAAAATGAATCCCTGTATTGTCAAAATTTAATTTAATTAAATGTTAAAATATTTAAAAATATCAATTCTTTAAAAAAAATAGATATTTTGAATTAATTGATTAATTTATAAGCGTTGCATAGATACTGGTCACATACATTGTGGTCATTTGATCAGCATAAATAATTAAATAAACTTTAAGAATTGAGTTTTGATTAAAATTTCACTTGTGAAAATAATAAAATTTTTAATTAGTCATAGATCTAATTCATTTTTACAATTAATGCTAATTTTAATTCAAATTTAAAATTGATTTTTATGAAAATCCTATAATTTGTAAGAATTTTGCATAATAAACTGGAAAACAACCCTACTATTATCAAATTTAATCTTAATTAAATGTTAAAAAATTAAGAAATATCAAAACATTAAAAAAATAGTATTTTGAACATAATTCATAAGCGTTGAATAGTACTGGTCACATACATCGCGGTAATTTGACATTTTAAATAATAAAAAAGTGCTTAGGCTTAGCTTAGGGTATATTTAGGCTTAGGCTTAAGCATTATTTCAAATCTAAAAATTGATTTTGGTGAAAATTTTATAATTTGCAACAGTTTTTGTATATTAAACGAGGAAATAATTTCTAGTTTTATCAATTTTGATTTTAATTAAATGTTAAAATATCGAAAATCATCAATTAATTAAAATAAAATGGATATTTTGAACTTAATTGATTAATTTGTGTGCATTGCATAGGTACTGGTCGCATACATTGTGGTCATTTGACCAGCATAAATATTTGAATAAACTTTAATAATTAAGTTTTAATCAATATTTGATTAGCAAAACTAATTAAATTTTAAATTAGTGACGGTTTTAATTCATTCTCACAATTATAATAAATTTTTATTTCAAAAAATCTGGATTTTGTGAAACATATTAATCTACAAAATAAATTCTAGCAATATCAAAAAGTAATTTTAAATAATTGTTAAAATATTAAAAAATAACAAATCATTAAAAAAATAGATATTTTGTACTTAATTGATTGAATTTTATGCGTTGCAAGGTACTGGTCACACACACCGTGGTCATTTGACCAGCAAAAATAATAAAATAAACTTTAGAAATTAATTAAATTTTTAATTTTTCACGATTTTAATTCATTCTTACAATTAAAATTAATTTATATTTCAAATTTAAATAATACAATTATAAAAATCCCATAATTTGTACGGGTATTTGCATACTGAACTAGGTAAGAATTCCTACTATTATCAAAATTTAATTTCAAAGGATGTTAAAGTATTAAAAAAAATCATTTAATAAAAAAAAAAATTGATGATTATATACGCATAGTGCGGGAACTGTCACATACATTGTGGTCATTTGACATCTTAAATAATAAAATAATGCTTAGGCTTTGGCTTAAGGTATACTTAGGCTAAGGCTTAAGCATTATTTCAAATCTAAAAATTGATTCTGGTGAAAATTTTATAATTTGCAAGAGTTTTTATATATTGAACGGGAAAATATTTTCTAGTTTTATCAATTTTGATTTTAATTAAATGTTAAAACTATTAAAAATTATCAATTCATTAAAAAAAATTAGTTATTTTGAACTCAATTGATTAATTTTATGCGTTGCATGGATAACGGTCAGTTACGGTGTGGTCAATTGACAACATAAATAAGAAAATATACTTCAATAACTAAGCTTTTTTTAATATTTGAGAAACAAAATTAATAAGATTTTTAATTTGTCGTAGATTTAATTCATTTCTGCAGCTAAAATTAATTTTTGTTTGAAATCTTAAGATAGAATTTTATGAAAGTTTAATGATTTGCGATGAATCAAAACCTTTTTTGTATATTAGACTTTTTTTCTATAATTCCTAGTAATATCAAATTTTACATTAATTAAATGTAAAACTGTTAAAATATATATTTCATTAAATTAGTTATTTTGAAGTCAATTGATTAAATTTGTGTTCATTGCACAGGTACTGGTCGCATACATAGTGATCATTTGACCAGCAGAAATATTAAAATAAACTTTAATAATTAAGTTTTAATCAGTATTTAATTAGCAAAACTATTTTAATTTTCGATTTTTGACGGTTTTAATTCATTCTCACAATTATAATTCATTTTTATTTCAAATTTAAAATTTAAATTTTATGAAAATTCATTAATTTACTAGAATTTTGCATATTAATCTACAAAATAAATTGTAGTAAATATCAAAAGCCAGTTTTAAATAAATGTTAAAATTTTGAAAAATATCAATTAATTAAAAAAAAAAAATGGATATTTTGAACTTAATTGATTAATTTGTGTGCATTGCATAGGTACTGGTCGCATACATTGTGGTCATTTGACCAGCATAAATATCTAAATAAACTTTAATAATTAAGTTTTAATCAATATTTGGTTGGCAAAACGAATTCAATTTTAAATTAGTGACGGTTTTAATTCATTCTCACAGTTATAATTAATTTTTATTTAAAATTTAAATTTTATGATTATTTATTAATTTACTAGAATTTTGCATATTATTCTACAAAATAAATTACAGCTATATCAAAAATTTATTTTAATTAATTTTTAATATATATATATATAATATATATATATATATTTTAATATAATTTTTAATATATATATATATATATATATATATATATATATAAAAATATAAAAAATGTCAAGTCATTAAAAAAAGTAGATATTTTGAGCTTAATTGATTAATTTATAAGCGTTGCATGGGTACTGGTCATTTATGGTGTGGTCAATTGGCAACATAAATAATAAAATAAACTTTAATAATTAAGTTTCAATCGATATTTGATCAGCAAAATTAATTAAATTTTTATAGATCAACTCATTTTTATCATTTCCTTAGCCTGAACTGCTGCGTTGCGCTTTTTCGCTTGATGAATAAGTAAATAGTGATTCTATTCCTACTGTTTCTTAATGTGCGCTAATACAACTATATATGTGATGTAGCCTTCTTATGTTCTTCACTCCATTTGTAAGTTAAATTGATGAGTTAACACAATTGTATTTTTCCTTTTTGCATAGTTTGCATTTTTCGACATCGATAAAGTTTAAGTCGCACGGAAAAAGCGTCTGATGAATTATCGTAGCTAATGTTTTCAATAAGGCACAGCTGATGTTGTCTGAATGTTTGCGAACAATTTCTAGTCTGAAGCAACACTTATATTTCGACTTTTGAAATGAAGAAATTAACCTCAAAAATGCTGTGAGAAGAAAATGAAAGAAAATATCATGCACTGTGAATCTTCCTAAATAATAAAATGAAAATACTAGAAGGAATAAAGAATAACAGAGTGATGGGAAAAATTCTGAGAATGTTTACATCCATCAAAGAATAACGGATACAAAGAAAGGCTCCAGGTGTGCAGTTCTCACCTAAATGAAGGAAGAAATTTGGATGCAATGGAAAACTCACCGAGAAATCGTATTTAATCTGTGTCACCGGTTTTTTTTTTACAGAATATAGATTCAAGTATTTTCAGTTCTTTGCTTGATTTCTTACAAATTTTTCTACATACTCCATGCTCATCTAGCATGGCTGTTCGATGAGATGGATCGATTCTAATCCAGCATCTGCCTTTGATAGTGCCATCCATTAGCTTGAAGTGAAATTCTTTTACTGCAATAAATCTATCACACAAATTAAGGCTCATGAAATATTTATCAAGAACTTTGTACGTATTTGTACATATTTGCAGATTTCAATAAAAAATATACTTGGTTGAAATAATGCCAATTTTGCTTTTATCTAGTCTTGGGTAAATGTCGCTCATGGAAGCAATCGATAAAGTTCGATAAATGAAAACAGCCAGCACCCAATCCATTTGAACTGACACTGCATTACTTCGAAAGCAGACGGCACTTTTATTTGCATACTTTATGTTAAACAGTTAAGTTCAACAAAGATTTTACTGTAAATGTTTAGGGAAATTTACATACAAAGAGAAAAGTTGAAGGGATATAAAGCGACCTGTAGAATAAGCGGTAATATGATATTATGAACCTTCGTGATCACAATGGTGAGATAACACAACAGAACAATTCATCTGACGAGATAATAGATTTATCATTCAAAATAATGGGCGACCCGATGCAACACCAGCCTTTCAAAAGTTTATTCAACTGTTTTTTATTACTATTTGTTTTCAAAAATGACGGTTTTGAAACTTCAGTTTCATCTCAAAATTTTTTAAAAAATCACCTTATGTGTTCCTGCATTTTCGATTGACGTTGTATCCACCGCAGATAGAGAGGCTACTTCAACCGTTTCTTCCTTTTAAATTTAATAACTCATTTCACTTTAAGAATGTTTACTTTAAGAATAATAACTCATTTGATTTTAAGAATGTTTACCATCATGAAAATTGTCAGTCCATATATAAAATGCAGTAAGAAAAAAATGAAAAGGGAGAAAATATTAGTTATTTTATCTCTAAAACTTTCAGTGTGGTAAAAAGGAGTATAAACGAGGTTTTAAAGATAATATACGAACCAAGCAAATACAGCAATGTAAAATACCTTCACTATTTGAAACTATTTGAAATGGTAGACTTTCAGTATTTAACACAATCATTATCACTATTCTCATTGTCTAAAAGTAATAATAATACAATATTTAGGACTTTTTAATTGCAATATCAAAAAGTGAGTAATTGTGGAAAACAATACAAGCAGGTTAATAGCTTAAAAAAGCTTCAGTGTTAATAAAATATCAGCGCAGCTATTTCGACTGCTTATCATAAACTCATTACACTTCGCAAAGCTACGACGATAAAATTACTACTAGCTCAAATGAAAACAAGGTAAATAGATGAATTTCAAATTCTGGGACATTAAGACGTTTGTAGGAGTAATTAAGCTTAAACTGAGTTGAATTATTTCACCGATACCAACAGTAATTTCAATGTAAATAGAAACGTCACAACGGCATTCTATTTACATTCGCCTCTGAACTTTGAAAATTGAATGATAGATACCAAACACTTTCATTAGACTATTTTCATATCACAATGTTCTATTATAAATGATTACTAGTGGAAAAGATATATCGGTGCTATGTTGAGTAGTTCAGAAACTCTGAAGAGTTCTTGTCATATTATCGAAAATAATACTGCAATGTTATTTATCAGAAAAATGGTTTAAGAAGCAAAAAATTGCTTCTGCTTCCAAAAAATCCTTATCATGCGAGCTATTATTGAGAATCTACTTGCAATTTATAACTAATTGAGAGAGGTTTTTGATGGCAAAGAGATTTGCTGGATGCAGATGTAAATACGTAAAATAACAGAGAAATATAACATTTCCTTTATTAGCACAAGTAATAGGACAATACATTGATAGAGGACAATTGAAATTGAACTCGTCTGGTTCTTGGCAACAAATTACACACACTAAAATTTTTTAACAAGGGCAACCCTTATACATTGTAACAATCATATCTTACATTATATGTGTTAAGATGTGGGAGTGGTTTATAATTAGACATTTTCGTACAAAGGATAAATTGTCTAGACATAGTAATGAGTTACTTTAACAATAGGTTTTACAATGGATATCACAAAGGTAAGTACAATGGGTTGTCTAGACAATATGATGTGTAGCTACTATAATTACAATAGACATTACAAGATAGATGCTCATAGTATGTGAATTAATATAAAATCAAAGGTCAGTTAAACCATTACGATAAATTGTAAAAGACATCAATGGATTGCTATATTAAGCATCATTAACATTTATTTAGTGCTTCTCGATATATCGATATTAAAATCCGTGACAATTATTTATTATCTATTTATTTTTTTGTTGTCGTTGTTAGTTGTTATTGTTGTCGCTGTTAGTTGTTAATGTAGTGTAAAAAAAGTAGAAATGGCATTAATTCAGTAACAGAAATTTATGACTTCCCATCTACATTTTCAAGTACCAATTAAACTTCATTTAGTTGCGAACTTCCATTTCAAGTACCAATTTATATGTCAAAACAATCTCGCGAACTTTTAAATAACTTAACTTACAAAATAACTTTTTAAATAACTTACAAAATATATCAAATAAATTGTATTAATTCATAATATAAAGCTAAAATTCGTTTTAATTAAACATTAGAAATGTAAAACTGTTTCAAATTATACTTTATGTAAGCAATCATTCCAACACTCATCTTTCTATTGTAGTTGAGCTTATCTACTTTCTAGACATTTTCATCTGATAATAAAAGGTGCATTATTTAATATGTTAAAAATTACTTCTTTGTTCCAAATCAAATGTATTTGCAATGTCAAAATATTCTTATAAACTGATAGCCAACCTTTGGGAAGCTACAATATTAGAACTCTTTCTATATGAAGAGCAAAGTTATCTAATAGTTCCTTACTTAATAATCATGCTGTTGTTGCAAGTCAATGACCACTGTATAAAGATTTGTCTTGATCAGTTTTTACCAGTTTTTCTTTATCAGTAAGCTACAATTCGGCTGCACTCTCTCACTAACCATTCAGTTTACTTCCCCATTAATTTATTAAATACTTCACGAAATTAGCAGTATTGTTGCTTAAATTAATACCTATATATTGTGGTGTTAGCAAATAAAATCGTTACAATAGATCTATCATTCGTTAAAATGGATCTAATTTTTGTGATAGATAAATCTGATTCAAAAAAAGGAAAAATAACAAAAAAACGCATTAGTCTACATCAACTACAATAACAAATAAGATAAGTTCTTGAATATACGAAAGTTCAATTCGACTCTAAGCCACAAGTTATGTTCAGACTGAATCCCAAATTTGACGACAATTTAGGCCAAGTTCAAGTATCTGTTTAGGAGTCATTTCAAGTGCCAGTATTACATTCAAGCCAAATATACATTACACACAATCATTTATAACTACTACTGGGTGTATATGTGTATTACTTGTATAACATTTCTGTCTCGTAATGACCACAAAGCGAAAGTGATACATAATACACTTAAGAATTTGACATTAAATTTTTCGATCAAATGTAAATATCTGATCAAATTTTGTGATAGATAAATCTGATTCAAAAAAGGATCTAATAACAAAAAAAATATTCATTAATATATTTTACATAGCAACCAATCAATCGGTTGATGGGTTAATAAAATATTACATATATTTAAAATTTTCGACTTCAAATTTTAAGATTTAACCGACGGAACTGACATTTGCAATAAATATGACAAAAATAAATTAAATACGTAATTTATCTCTCTATTAGAATATTAAGGAAGTTAAGATGACCTTTCGTTTTAGTAAAGTTATTTAAATTTTAAATAATAATGATGGCATAGATGAAAGAAAAATAATTAAGAAATTATAATTGATATTGATGACCACAGATGATAGGATGGCCTCATAAGTAATTTTTCTGGTACTTATTAAGATATGTCACTTTAAATTAAAAATCTTTTGAAATTATTAAGAATGTTGTTAGTCAGTCAGCCGAAATGAATTGTATGTTTGACAATAGCAATTGTTCCATTTTCAAACTGTAATAATTCAATCCTTTTTGTACATATATAATAACTGCACATTTACCATATTTAATTAAAATTATTCTCATTTTTTTTTCAATTTAATTTTAAATCAAGAAGCGAAATTCAGCAAATGAAATGATAAGAGTAGCATATAATTAACAGATGAGATAATTAATAATAATAAATAATCAGTAAATGAAATAATCAATCATATCATGACATTTTGAATGACATCTTGAAATATTTGTTTATTCCTCATACAAATTACAGTAATCCTCTTTTCCATTTCGTGATAAATTTTGTAAAAGGGTGAAAATTATTTAATTGATCATTTGATTCCCAATGTAAACAGGTGGCACATCGTAGCAAGCAATAATAATATCATTAATCTAATAATATAGTTCATATTCATTTTTCCCAATTGCCTATTTTAATTCTTCTAAAGAAAAAAAAAAAAAAAGGAAGTCATGAAAAATATTAAAATTATTGCACCAATTAATCAACGACAAATTAATTATCGCAAATAAACAATTTTCGCCAAAACAGTCGCTTATTCCTTATTCTTTTTCCTTCTTTTTTCTTCGCCCAGTAAAATTATATTAATAAAAAAACTTACCAAGAAAAAAAATATAAATAAAATTGTGCAAAATTTTCAAATGTTTCATAAATTTAAAAAAAGATTGTCTTTTACTATTTTCATCTTTTTTCCTCTCTCTCTCTCTCTCTCTCTCTCTCTCTCTCTCTTGCCTTGCTTTATACACTGTTTGAAATAAAGGAAAATACCAGAAGGAAAAAGCATAAAGTATTTAAATAAATGGAAAAGAAATTCAACAAATAATATAACTATACAACGAACCAGTCTTTAAAATGTTTAATGTTAGCAATCAATTATTTACCTATCTGCAGTGCATTATAAAAATAATTGAAATTTCAGTTAAAATCGAATTGAAAATGAGGAAGAAAAAGTAGTTGAAAGGTTTATTAAAATTTAAAAGAAAAAAGCAAGAGAAAAAATATTTGCTATAATTTAAAAAAAGAAAAAAAATAATGTATAATCTGTTATTACAAGTTAGTTACTGAAAGATCTGTCTGTTCAATTTTAGATTACAATAATTTACAATCGGTAATAATTTCCCAATTTTAATCTCTCCATTTCGGTATTTCAAAATGTTATCAATAACGGAAAGCTTTTTGCTTACTTATCCGAATTTATTTTCTACTATTACTCTTTTTTAGGATATAAAAAAATAAAGAAAGAAATTTCAATTGATAAATAATTTTTATACGAAATATGGAATAATTTAGATCCATTAATTCTAAAAAAATTCAGCACATTTTTCTCATTTTGTTTATTATTTTAAATTTCTTCCTTTCCTTCCTTCTTTTTTGATTGCTCTTATAATAAATTTGATTTTTGAATTACTTGAAAAACATCAGCGATATTCAACAAATATTCTGCATTTATTGAATTAATTTTAACTGAATTACAACAATATTCCATAGCTATTTTAAATTATTTGATAATTCATTCATGCATACACATGAAAAAAGAAACTGATGAATCAATTTTGCTTGTGAAAAATACTTTTAATTTCTTTTATTTTTTCCAAAGTATGATTTTGTTCCTGTTAAATGTTAAATCGAAATTATTAAATTATATGCTAAAGTGAGTATTTTATTTTGCTCTGAAATTATTTCAATAATGATCAAGAAAAAAGTTAGATTTTTTTATAGATCTAAAATAAATTGTCTCTTTTTCCACTTTGAAATGAAATGGATTCATAAGTAAATTGAAGGTAATAATAAGAATCGATGAAGTTTTATAATAATAAATAAATGATAAACAAACGCTTTGAGAGCATCTTTTTTTAAACGAAGCAGAAAAAAATATTGAATTTGCTTTTTAATAATAGCCACAGAAATCTTGTTTCTGAGATAAAATTACAGTTTTAGAGAAGTTGCATTCTTACAAAGGAATCATTCACCAATTAACATAAATTTAACAATAGAAATAAAAAAAAACTTTAAAACAATTAAAATGATTTTGTCTTTTCAATCAGAGAATCACAGCAACATATGAGCAAAAGTAATTTTAATATAAATATTTTTTTGATGAAAAAAGTTTTTTTTTGTTCTCTATTTAAATATGATAGAACATTACTATATATTTTTATTTTTTTTTAATATTTTATTTTAATATTTTTTATTTTTAATGTTTTTTGCCAGTTTTTTATGCTAAAAAATTAAAATACTTTTTTAACTTTTTAAGTGTTTGAGTATAACTAAATTATAATCTGAGTAGAACTGAATTACAATCTGAGTAAAACTGAATTATAATCTGAGTAAAACTGAATTATAATCTGGGTATAACTGAATTGTAATCTGTATATAATCTGAGTATAACTGAATTTCGGGGGTTTGCAATCTTCTTCATGTATTCTGTTAAGGGTATTTGACAATTAAGGCAAAAAAGAAACTTTATAAAATTCACTTTAAAGTTTTCTTTCAATGTACAAATTTAATGGAAATTGCTTTTAGGCCAATTTTAATTTATTTTTAATATTGAAATTAATTTTAATTGCAGATTTAAATTCGACAGTTTCCAAGAGCTTTTCTGTCAATTTAATGCTGAAACAATTTTTAAAATGCTAAATTGTGTTTTAATTAAATGCCAACAATGTTATGAAAATTTAATTCATTGAAAAATAAATATATTTTGGACTTAATTGATTATTTTTATTTGCATTCCCCTTGATCTTCACACATTCTGTTGGGGATATTTGAAATTTATGGAGAAAAGAAACTTTACAAAATTTAGTGATTTTAATTTATTTTTGACTTTGAAAATAATTGCAGATTTAAATATGGATCAATAGAAAAGTTCACTTTTGAACTTTATTGGCTATATTATTTGCATTCTCCTGATCTTCATATGTTCTGTTTGGGATATTTGACCATTTATGCAAATAAGAAACTTTATAAAATTCACTTTAAGATATTCTTTTAATGTACAAATTTAATGAAATTTGCCTTTAGTGCTGATTTTAATTTATTTCTGACATGAAATTAATTTTAATTGCAGATTTAAATTCGACAGTTTGCAAGAGTTTATGTTAATTTATTGCTGAAATAATTTTTAAATCTGCTAAATTCTGTTTCAGTTAAGTGCCAACAATGTTATAAAAATTTAATTCATTTAAAAATAAAATATATTTTGGACTTATCTGATCATTTTATTTACACTGCTCTTGATCTGCACACATTCTGTTTGGGGTATTTGACATATAATTGCAGAAAAGGAAATTTATAGAATTTTCTGAAGTAATCTTTCAATGTACAAATTTAATAAAATTTGCAATTAGTGATGATTTTAATTTATTTTTGGTATTGAAATTAACTTTAATTGCAGATTTAAATATGGATTATTTGGAAAGTTCGGGAGTTTCCGAGAGTTTTTTTAACTTAATGCTTAATTTTAATTGTACATTTAAATATGGATCATTAAGAAAGTTCGACAGTTTCTAACAGTTTCGTATTGACCAGTATATATTCTGGCGGAGATATTTGAGAATTTAAGCAAAAAAGAAAGTTTATAAAATCCACTTTAGAGTAATATTTCAATGTTGAAGTAAAAAAAAATTTGCAATTATTAGTGATTAAAAATTTTTTTTGGCATTAAAAATAATTTTATTTACAAATTTAAAAATGGATTATTAGGAAAGTTCCAAGATTTCCAAGATTTTGTTGATTTAATGTTCAAAACATTTTTAAATATGCTCGATTCTACTTTAATTAAATGCCAAAAACGTGAAGAAATGTAATTAATTTAAAAATAAATATATTTTATTTCCATTCTCCTGATCTTCATATATATAAGGGTGAATTATTAGTAGCTCAGTTATTAGCTAAATGTTGTGATGTTTATAAGTGTGCAATTATATCAGTCACTATAAAATAATAGGATTGGGATTTATCGAACTAGCCAAAACTTTCATTAGCTAACTGAATGCTTTAATTATTTAATTTCTAACTTTCTTGAGTGAATGAATTGCTCTTACTTATCACTGTCTGTTAAGTATAATGTTTCATACATTTAACTTCTTTATTAGTCATTCTAGTTATTCAAATGTATTTTTTTAATGATGAAGACCAATGTGTGTGCCCGCTCGCTCGTTAAACCTTCTGCTCATGGCCGCCTGTACGGTACGGTCTTCTCAGATGTGTGTATCCACCCGCTCGCTCGTTAACTCTTTTCCTCATTTCTGCCCAAACCTTACTGAGGGCGAGCACAGTGACTACGGTACGATCTCTTAAGATGTATGTGCCCACCCTCCACGTATGCCTACCCCACCCCTTTCCCTCATTTCTGCCCTAACCTCATCACTGAAGGCGAACTGAAGAGTCTGCCCACCCGTTCGCTCCTCAGACGCACACACCCCAACAATGAGCCCCCAATTCACCCAGTCGATTATCACTGTACTCTCCTAGGCCTATACAGTCTTTTCTAAAAAACACAGGACTTCCTTTGTCCGTGTGCGCACATATATATAGCCACATCCTCGTCATCAGGTCATTCGTGGAGCAATCGGGTCTGTCAAGCGTTCGGACGTTTGTTTTACTACTTTCCCATAATTCTTTTCATATTGCGTTTTAGGGGAAAGTTTTTTTCCTCTTTTTTAAGTTATACTTTTTCTTTTGGTTAAGTTGTTATTATATTTTTAAGTCACTTTAAAGTAAATTACTCCGTTAATTATTAGAAGCGTAAGGTCATCGAAGTTGGATTTAGTTGAGAAATGCATGGATGTAGATGTGCTAAAATTTGAATTTCGTTATATCTTAAATTCGGCTTCACTTTTTTTCTAATTTTCTATTAGCTAATTGAATGTTTCTTGGGACGGTTTTTGGCCAATTTCTATTTTTGTTGTATTGCTGCAGCTTATCGTTGTCGTAAAGAAAATCATTTATTGCAGAATTCGTTGGCGATAACCTAGTAACTTATTTAGTGTTGTTGGCAATGTTGGCGAACTGTTATTGGCAATTAGATCATCAAGGAAGATCTCGAAAAGAAGGAGGTTAGTCCATTTTTCATCTTTATGTTTAGCCTTTTTCCTTAGCTTTTTATTTTATGGTTTTCTGTACTTTTTTTATTATCTTTAGCTTGCATTTATGAATGAAATGTGTTGTCATTCCGCCTGTGTATGGTATTGTTCTTTGGACGGACGGGGTTAATTAGCATTGATGACGGATGAGCTTAATTAGCGTTGATAACGGATGAGCTTGATTAGCAGCTTTTCTTTTTAAGTAGTTTTACTTATACATGTATGTGTATTTTGTAGTGATGAAGGGGATGTGTGTGCCCAGCCACTCTGTGCGCCCACCGGCCCGCTTTTGCCCTTTTCGGTATACCCTCATTGAGGGCGAACGGAGTGCCTGTACAGTACGGTTTCTTTTGATGTCACAACCCCAACTCACCCAATCGATTGGTTCTATACTCCCTTAGGGTCTATACAGTCCTTTTAAAAATGACCCGCGCCCTCCTGTACATTTCCCTCTTAACCTTATTGGGACAAAGGTCTTCTTTGTCCATGTGTGCACACAGACAAAGGCGCAGACGGGGTGGCACACATATCGCCACATCCTCATCATTTAGTCATTCGTGAGCAGTCGGACCTGTCGAGCGGTTGGAGATTTTATTACTTCCTAGTACCTTCATTTAAGTGGGTTTGTAGGAGCAAAGTTTATTTTTTTTAAATTATCAATTATTAAACTTGCACTGTATTATTTGCAGGAAACCTAATGGAAGGAACGAAGAACATGGAACTTCCATTTGGTTTCAACTGCGTAAAGGCTTAGGCTTAGGCTTAGGCTTAGGCTTAGGCTTAGGCTTAGGCTTAGGCTTAGGCTTAGGCTTAGGCTTAGGCTTAGGCTTAGGCTTAGGCTTAGGCTTAGGCTTAGGCTTAGGCTTAGGCTTAGGCTTAGGCTTAGGCTTAGGCTTAGGCTTAGGCTTAGGCTTAGGCTTAGGCTTAGGCTTAGGCTTAGGCTTAGGCTTAGGCTTAGGCTTAGGCTTAGGCTTAGGCTTAGGCTTAGGCTTAGGCTTAGGCTTAGGCTTAGGCTTAGGCTTAGGCTTAGGCTTAGGCTTAGGCTTAGGCTTAGGCTTAGGCTTAGGCTTAGGCTTAGGCTTAGGCTTAGGCTTAGGCTTAGGCTTAGGCTTAGGCTTAGGCTTAGGCTTAGGCTTAGGCTTAGGCTTAGGCTTAGGCTTAGGCTTAGGCTTAGGCTTAGGCTTAGGCTTAGGCTTAGGCTTAGGCTTAGGCTTAGGCTTAGGCTTAGGCTTAGGCTAGGCTTAGGCTTAGGCTTAGGCTTAGGCTTAGGCTTAGGCTTAGGCTTAGGCTTAGGCTTAGGCTTAGGCTTAGGCTTAGGCTTAGGCTTAGGCTTAGGCTTAGGCTTAGGCTTAGGCTTAGGCTTAGGCTTAGGCTTAGGCTTAGGCTTAGGCTTAGGCTTAGGCTTAGGCTTAGGCTTAGGCTTAGGCTTAGGCTTAGGCTTAGGCTTAGGCTTAGGCTTAGGCTTAGGCTTAGGCTTAGTAGGCTTAGGCTTAGGCTTAGGCTTAGGCTTAGGCTGCTTAGGCTTAGGCTTAGGCTTAGGCTTAGGCTTAGGCTTAGGCTTAGGCTTAGGCTTAGGCTTAGGCTTAGGCTTCTTAGGCTTAGGCTTAGGCTTAGGCTTAGGCTTAGGCTTAGGCTTAGGCTTAGGCTTAGGCTTAGGCTTAGGCTTAGGCTTAGGCTTAGGCTTAGGCTTAGGCTTAGGCTTAGGCTTAGGCTTAGGCTTAGGCTGCTTAGGCTTAGGCTTAGGCTTAGGCTTTTAGGCTTAGGCTTAGGCTTAGGCTTAGGCTTAGGCTTAGGCTTAGGCTTAGGCTTAGGCTTAGGCTTAGGCTTAGGCTTAGGCTTAGGCTTAGGCTTAGGCTTAGGCTTAGGCTTAGGCTTAGGGGCTTAGGCTTAGGCTTAGGCTTAGGCTTAGGCTTAGGCTTAGGCTTAGGCTTAGGCTTAGGCTTAGGCTTAGGCTTAGGCTTAGGCTTAGGCTTAGGCTTAGGCTTAGGCTTAGGCTTAGGCTTAGGCTTAGGCTTAGGCTTAGGCTTAGGCTTAGGCTTAGGCTTAGGCTTAGGCTTAGGCTTAGGCTTAGGCTTATAGGCTTAGGCTTAGGCTTAGGCTTAGGCTTAGGCTTAGGCTTAGGCTTAGGCTTAGGCTTAGGCTTAGGCTTAGGCTTAGGCTTAGGCTTAGGCTTAGGCTTAGGCTTAGGCTTAGGCTTAGGCTTAGGCTTAGGCTTAGGCTTAGGCTTAGGCTTAGGCTTAGGCTTAGGCTTAGGCTTAGGCTTAGGCTTAGGCTTAGGCTTAGGCTTAGGCTTAGGCTTAGGCTTAGGCTTAGGCTTAGGCTTAGGCTTAGGCTTAGGCTTAGGCTTAGGCTTAGGCTTAGGCTTAGGCTTAGGCTTAGGCTTAGGCTTAGGCTTTAGGCTTAGGCTTAGGCTTAGGCTTAGGCTTAGGCTTAGGCTTAGGCTTAGGCTTAGGCTTAGGCTTAGGCTTAGGCTTAGGCTTAGGCTTAGGCTTAGGCTTAGGCTTAGGCTTAGGCTTAGGCTTAGGCTTAGGCTTAGGCTTAGGCTTAGGCTTAGCTTAGGCTTAGGCTTAGGCTTAGGCTTAGGCTTAGGCTTAGGCTTAGGCTTAGGCTTAGGCTTAGGCTTAGGCTTAGGCTTAGGCTTAGGCTTAGGCTTAGCTTAGGCTTAGGCTTAGGCTTAGGCTTAGGCTTAGGCTTAGGCTTAGGCTTAGGCTTAGGCTTAGGCTTAGGCTTAGGCTTAGGCTTAGCTTAGGCTTAGGCTTAGGCTTAGGCTTAGGCTTAGGCTTAGGCTTAGCTTAGGCTTAGGCTTAGGCTTAGGCTTAGGCTTAGGCTTAGGCTTAGGCTTAGGCTTAGGCTTAGGCTTAGGCTTAGGCTTAGGCTTAGGCTTAGGCTTAGGCTTAGGCTTAGGCTTAGGCTTAGGCTTAGGCTTAGGCTTAGGCTTAGGCTTAGGCTTAGGCTTAGGCTTAGGCTTAGGCTTAGGCTTAGGCTTAGGCTTAGGCTTAGGCTTAGGCTTAGGCTTAGGCTTAGGCTTAGGCTTAGGCTTAGGCTTAGGCTTAGGCTTAGGCTTAGGCTTAGGCTTAGGCTTAGGCTTAGGCTTAGGCTTAGGCTTAGGCTTAGGCTTAGGCTTAGGCTTAGGCTTAGCTAGGCTTAGGCTTAGGCTTAGGCTTAGGCTTAGGCTTAGGCTTAGGCTTAGGCTTAGGCTTAGGCTTAGGCTTAGGCTTAGGCTTAGGCTTAGGCTTAGGCTTAGGCTTAGCTTAGGCTTAGGCTTAGGCTTAGGCTTAGGCTTAGGCTTAGGCTTAGGCTTAGGCTTAGGCTTAGGCTTAGGCTTAGGCTTAGGCTTAGGCTTAGGCTTAGGCTTAGGCTTAGGCTTAGGCTTAGGCTTAGGCTTAGGCTTAGGCTTAGGCTTAGGCTTAGCTTAGGCTTAGGCTTAGGCTTAGGCTTAGGCTTAGGCTTAGGCTTAGGCTTAGGCTTAGGCTTAGGCTTAGGCTTAGGCTTAGGCTTAGGCTTAGGCTTAGCTTAGGCTTAGGCTTAGGCTTAGGCTTAGGCTTAGGCTTAGGCTTAGGCTTAGGCTTAGGCTTAGGCTTAGGCTTAGGCTTAGGCTTAGGCTTAGGCTTAGGCTTAGGCTTAGGCTTAGGCTTAGGCTTAGCTTAGGCTTAGGCTTAGGCTTAGGCTTAGGCTTAGGCTTAGGCTTAGGCTTAGGCTTAGGCTTAGGCTTAGGCTTAGGCTTAGGCTTAGGCTTAGGCTTAGGCTTAGGCTTAGGCTTAGGCTTAGGCTTAGGCTTAGGCTTAGGCTTAGGCTTAGGCTTAGGCTTAGGCTTAGGCTTAGGCTTAGGCTTAGGCTTAGGCTTAGGCTTAGGCTTAGGCTTAGGCTTAGGCTTAGGCTTAGGCTTAGGCTTAGGCTTAGGCTTAGGCTTAGGCTTAGGCTTAGGCTTAGGCTTAGGCTTAGGCTTAGGCTTAGGCTTAGCTTAGGCTTAGGCTTAGGCTTAGGCTTAGGCTTAGGCTTAGGCTTAGGCTTAGGCTTAGGCTTAGGCTTAGGCTTAGGCTTAGGCTTAGGCTTAGGCTTAGGCTTAGGCTTAGGCTTAGGCTTAGGCTTAGGCTTAGGCTTAGGCTTAGGCTTAGGCTTAGGCTTAGGCTTAGGCTTAGGCTTAGGCTTAGGCTTAGGCTTAGGCTTAGGCTTAGGCTTAGGCTTAGGCTTAGGCTTAGGCTTAGGCTTAGGCTTAGGCTTAGGCTTAGGCTTAGGCTTAGGCTTAGGCTTAGGCTTAGGCTTAGGCTTAGGCTTAGGCTTAGGCTTAGGCTTAGGCTTAGGCTTAGGCTTAGGCTTAGGCTTAGGCTTAGGCTTAGGCTTAGGCTTAGGCTTAGGCTTAGGCTTAGGCTTAGGCTTAGGCTTAGGCTTAGGCTTAGGCTTAGGCTTAGGCTTAGGCTTAGGCTTAGGCTTAGGCTTAGGCTTAGGCTTAGGCTTTGGCTTAGGCTTAGGCTTAGGCTTAGGCTTAGGCTTAGGCTTAGGCTTAGGCTTAGGCTTAGGCTTAGGCTTAGGCTTAGGCTTAGGCTTAGGCTTAGGCTTAGGCTTAGGCTTAGGCTTAGGCTTAGGCTTAGGCTTAGGCTTAGGCTTAGGCTTAGGCTTAGGCTTAGGCTTAGGCTTAGGCTTAGGCTTAGGCTTAGGCTTAGGCTTAGGCTTAGGCTTAGGCTTAGGCTTAGGCTTAGGCTTAGGCTTAGGCTTAGGCTTAGGCTTAGGCTTAGGTTTAGGCTTAGGCTTAGGCTTAGGCTTAGGCTTAGGCTTAGGCTTAGGCTTAGGCTTAGGCTTAGGCTTAGGCTTAGGCTTAGGCTTAGGCTTAGGCTTAGGCTTAGGCTTTGGCTTAGGCTTAGGCTTAGGCTTAGGCTTAGGCTTAGGCTTAGGCTTAGGCTTAGGCTTAGGCTTAGGCTTAGGCTTAGGCTTAGGCTTAGGCTTAGGCTTAGGCTTAGGCTTAGGCTTAGGCTTAGGCTTAGGCTTAGGCTTAGGCTTAGGCTTAGGCTTAGGCTTAGGCTTAGGCTTAGGCTTAGGCTTAGGCTTAGGCTTAGGCTTAGGCTTAGGCTTAGGCTTAGGCTTAGGCTTAGGCTTAGGCTTAGGCTTAGGCTTAGGCTTAGGCTTAGGCTTAGGCTTAGGCTTAGGCTTAGGCTTAGGCTTAGGCTTAGGCTTAGGCTTAGGCTTAGGCTTAGGCTTAGGCTTAGGCTTAGGCTTAGGCTTAGGCTTAGGCTTAGGCTTAGGCTTAGGCTTAGGCTTAGGCTTAGGCTTAGGCTTAGGCTTAGGCTTAGGCTTAGGCTTAGGCTTAGGCTTAGGCTTAGGCTTAGGCTTAGGCTTAGGCTTAGGCTTAGGCTTAGGCTTAGGCTTAGGCTTAGGCTTAGGCTTAGGCTTAGGCTTAGGCTTAGGCTTAGGCTTAGGCTTAGGCTTAGGCTTAGGCTTAGGCTTAGGCTTAGGCTTAGGCTTAGGCTTAGGCTTAGGCTTAGGCTTAGGCTTAGGCTTAGGCTTAGGCTTAGGCTTAGGCTTAGGCTTAGGCTTAGGCTTAGGCTTAGGCTTAGGCTTAGGCTTAGGCTTAGGCTTAGGCTTAGGCTTAGGCTTAGGCTTAGGCTTAGGCTTAGGCTTAGGCTTAGGCTTAGGCTTAGGCTTAGGCTTAGGCTTAGGCTTAGGCTTAGGCTTAGGCTTAGGCTTAGGCTTAGGCTTAGGCTTAGGCTTAGGCTTAGGCTTAGGCTTAGGCTTAGGCTTAGGCTTAGGCTTAGGCTTAGGCTTAGGCTTAGGCTTAGGCTTAGGCTTAGGCTTAGGCTTAGGCTTAGGCTTAGGCTTAGGCTTAGGCTTAGGCTTAGGCTTAGGCTTAGGCTTAGGCTTAGGCTTAGGCTTAGGCTTAGGCTTAGGCTTAGGCTTAGGCTTAGGCTTAGGCTTAGGCTTAGGCTTAGGCTTAGGCTTAGGCTTAGGCTTAGGCTTAGGCTTAGGCTTAGGCTTAGGCTTAGGCTTAGGCTTAGGCTTAGGCTTAGGCTTAGGCTTAGGCTTAGGCTTAGGCTTAGGCTTAGGCTTAGGCTTAGGCTTAGGCTTAGGCTTAGGCTTAGGCTTAGGCTTAGGCTTAGGCTTAGGCTTAGGCTTAGGCTTAGGCTTAGGCTTAGGCTTAGGCTTAGGCTTAGGCTTAGGCTTAGGCTTAGGCTTAGGCTTAGGCTTAGGCTTAGGCTTAGGCTTAGGCTTAGGCTTAGGCTTAGGCTTAGGCTTAGGCTTAGGCTTAGGCTTAGGCTTAGGCTTAGGCTTAGGCTTAGGCTTAGGCTTAGGCTTAGGCTTAGGCTTAGGCTTAGGCTTAGGCTTAGGCTTAGGCTTAGGCTTAGGCTTAGGCTTAGGCTTAGGCTTAGGCTTAGGCTTAGGCTTAGGCTTAGGCTTAGGCTTAGGCTTAGGCTTAGGCTTAGGCTTAGGCTTAGGCTTAGGCTTAGGCTTAGGCTTAGGCTTAGGCTTAGGCTTAGGCTTAGGCTTAGGCTTAGGCTTAGGCTTAGGCTTAGGCTTAGGCTTAGGCTTAGGCTTAGGCTTAGGCTTAGGCTTAGGCTTAGGCTTAGGCTTAGGCTTAGGCTTAGGCTTAGGCTTAGGCTTAGGCTTAGGCTTAGGCTTAGGCTTAGGCTTAGGCTTAGGCTTAGGCTTAGGCTTAGGCTTAGGCTTAGGCTTAGGCTTAGGCTTAGGCTTAGGCTTAGGCTTAGGCTTAGGCTTAGGCTTAGGCTTAGGCTTAGGCTTAGGCTTAGGCTTAGGCTTAGGCTTAGGCTTAGGCTTAGGCTTAGGCTTAGGCTTAGGCTTAGGCTTAGGCTTAGGCTTAGGCTTAGGCTTAGGCTTAGGCTTAGGCTTAGGCTTAGGCTTAGGCTTAGGCTTAGGCTTAGGCTTAGGCTTAGGCTTAGGCTTAGGCTTAGGCTTAGGCTTAGGCTTAGGCTTAGGCTTAGGCTTAGGCTTAGGCTTAGGCTTAGGCTTAGGCTTAGGCTTAGGCTTAGGCTTAGGCTTAGGCTTAGGCTTAGGCTTAGGCTTAGGCTTAGGCTTAGGCTTAGGCTTAGGCTTAGGCTTAGGCTTAGGCTTAGGCTTAGGCTTAGGCTTAGGCTTAGGCTTAGGCTTAGGCTTAGGCTTAGGCTTAGGCTTAGGCTTAGGCTTAGGCTTAGGCTTAGGCTTAGGCTTAGGCTTAGGCTTAGGCTTAGGCTTAGGCTTAGGCTTAGGCTTAGGCTTAGGCTTAGGCTTAGGCTTAGGCTTAGGCTTAGGCTTAGGCTTAGGCTTAGGCTTAGGCTTAGGCTTAGGCTTAGGCTTAGGCTTAGGCTTAGGCTTAGGCTTAGGCTTAGGCTTAGGCTTAGGCTTAGGCTTAGGCTTAGGCTTAGGCTTAGGCTTAGGCTTAGGCTTAGGCTTAGGCTTTAGGCTTAGGCTTAGGCTTAGGCTTAGGCTTAGGCTTAGGCTTAGGCTTAGGCTTAGGCTTAGGCTTAGGCTTAGGCTTAGGCTTAGGCTTAGGCTTAGGCTTAGGCTTAGGCTTAGGCTTAGGCTTAGGCTTAGGCTTAGGCTTAGGCTTAGGCTTAGGCTTAGGCTTAGGCTTAGGCTTAGGCTTAGGCTTAGGCTTAGGCTTAGGCTTAGGCTTAGGCTTAGGCTTAGGCTTAGGCTTAGGCTTAGGCTTAGGCTTAGGCTTAGGCTTAGGCTTAGGCTTAGCTTAGGCTTAGGCTTAGGCTTAGGCTTAGGCTTAGGCTTAGGCTTAGGCTTAGGCTTAGGCTTAGGCTTAGGCTTAGGCTTAGGCTTAGGCTTAGGCTTAGGCTTAGGCTTAGGCTTAGGCTTAGGCTTAGGCTTAGGCTTAGGCTTAGGCTTAGGCTTAGGCTTAGGCTTAGGCTTAGGCTTAGGCTTAGGCTTAGGCTTAGGCTTAGGCTTAGGCTTAGGCTTAGGCTTAGGCTTAGGCTTAGGCTTAGGCTTAGGCTTAGGCTTAGGCTTAGGCTTAGGCTTAGGCTTAGGCTTAGGCTTAGGCTTAGGCTTAGGCTTAGGCTTAGGCTTAGGCTTAGGCTTAGGCTTTGGCTTAGGCTTAGGCTTAGGCTTAGGCTTAGGCTTAGGCTTAGGCTTAGGCTTAGGCTTAGGCTTAGGCTTAGGCTTAGGCTTAGCTTAGGCTTAGGCTTAGGCTTAGGCTTAGGCTTAGGCTTAGGCTTAGGCTTAGGCTTAGGCTTAGGCTTAGGCTTAGGCTTAGGCTTAGGCTTAGGCTTAGGCTTAGGCTTAGGCTTAGGCTTAGGCTTAGGCTTAGGCTTAGGCTTAGGCTTAGGCTTAGGCTTAGGCTTAGGCTTAGGCTTAGGCTTAGGCTTAGGCTTAGGCTTAGGCTTAGGCTTAGGCTTAGGTTTAGGCTTAGGCTTAGGCTTAGGCTTAGGCTTAGGCTTAGGCTAGGCTTAGGCTTAGGCTTAGGCTTAGGCTTAGGCTTAGGCTTAGGCTTAGGCTTAGGCTTAGGCTTAGCTTAGGCTTAGGCTTAGGCTTAGGCTTAGGCTTAGGCTTAGGCTTAGGCTTAGGCTTAGGCTTAGGCTTAGGCTTAGGCTTAGGCTTAGGCTTAGCTTAGGCTTAGGCTTAGGCTTAGCTTAGGCTTAGGCTTAGGCTTAGGCTTAGGCTTAGGCTTAGGCTTAGGCTTAGGCTTAGGCTTAGGCTTAGCTTAGGCTTAGGCTTAGGCTTAGGCTTAGGCTTAGGCTTAGGCTTAGGCTTAGGCTTAGGCTTAGGCTTAGGCTTAGGCTTAGCTTAGGCTTAGGCTTAGGCTTAGGCTTAGGCTTAGGCTTAGGCTTAGGCTTAGGCTTAGCTTAGGCTTAGGCTTAGGCTTAGGCTTAGGCTTAGGCTTAGGCTTAGGCTTAGGCTTAGGCTTAGGCTTAGGCTTAGGCTTAGGCTTAGGCTTAGGCTTAGGCTTAGGCTTAGGCTTAGGCTTAGGCTTAGGCTTAGGCTTAGGCTTAGGCTTAGGCTTAGGCTTAGGCTTAGGCTTAGGCTTAGGCTTAGGCTTAGCTTAGGCTTAGGCTTAGGCTTAGGCTTAGGCTTAGGCTTAGGCTTAGGCTTAGGCTTAGGCTTAGGCTTAGGCTTAGGCTTAGGCTTAGGCTTAGGCTTAGGCTTAGGCTTAGGCTTAGGCTTAGGCTTAGGCTTAGGCTTAGGCTTAGGCTTAGGCTTAGGCTTAGGCTTAGGCTTAGGCTTAGGCTATGGCTTAGGCTTAGGCTTAGGCTTAGGCTTAGGCTTAGGCTTAGGCTTAGGCTTAGGCTTAGGCTTAGGCTTAGGCTTAGGCTTAGGCTTAGGCTTAGGCTTAGGCTTAGGCTTAGGCTTAGGCTTAGGCTTAGGCTTAGGCTTAGGCTTAGGCTTAGGCTTAGGCTTAGGCTTAGGCTTAGGCTTAGGCTTAGGCTTAGGCTTAGGCTTAGGCTTAGGCTTAGGCTTAGGCTTAGGCTTAGGCTTAGGCTTAGGCTTAGGCTTAGGCTTAGGCTTAGGCTTAGGCTTAGGCTTAGGCTTAGGCTTAGGCTTAGGCTTAGGCTTAGGCTTAGGCTTAGGCTTAGGCTTAGGCTTAGGCTTAGGCTTAGGCTTAGGCTTAGGCTTAGGCTTAGGCTAGGCTTAGGCTTAGGCTTAGGCTTAGGCTTAGGCTTAGGCTTAGGCTTAGGCTTAGGCTTAGGCTTAGGCTTAGGCTTAGGCTTAGGCTTAGGCTTAGGCTTAGGCTTAGGCTTAGGCTTAGGCTTAGGCTTAGGCTTAGGCTTAGGCTTAGGCTTAGGCTTAGGCTTAGGCTTAGGCTTAGGCTTAGGCTTGGCTTAGGCTTAGGCTTAGGCTTAGGCTTAGGCTTAGGCTTAGGCTTAGGCTTAGGCTTAGGCTTAGGCTTAGGCTTAGGCTTAGGCTTAGGCTTAGGCTTAGGCTTAGGCTTAGGCTTAGGCTTAGGCTTAGGCTTAGGCTTAGGCTTAGGCTTAGGCTTAGGCTTAGGCTTAGGCTTAGGCTTAGGCTTAGGCTTAGGCTTAGGCTTAGGCTTAGGCTTAGGCTTAGGCTTAGGCTTAGGCTTAGGCTTAGGCTTAGGCTTAGGCTTAGGCTTAGGCTTAGGCTTAGGCTTAGGCTTAGGCTTAGGCTTAGGCTTAGGCTTAGGCTTAGGCTTAGGCTTAGGCTTAGGCTTAGGCTTAGGCTTAGGCTTAGGCTTAGGCTTAGGCTTAGGCTTAGGCTTAGCTTAGGCTTAGGCTTAGGCTTAGGCTTAGGCTTAGGCTTAGGCTTAGGCTTAGGCTTAGGCTTAGGCTTAGGCTTAGGCTTAGGCTTAGGCTTAGGCTTAGGCTTAGGCTTAGGCTTAGGCTTAGGCTTAGGCTTAGGCTTAGGCTTAGGCTTAGGCTTAGGCTTAGGCTTAGGCTTAGGCTTAGGCTTAGGCTTAGGCTTAGGCTTAGGCTTAGGCTTAGGCTTAGGCTTAGGCTTAGGCTTAGGCTTAGGCTTAGGCTTAGGCTTAGGCTTAGGCTTAGGCTTAGGCTTAGGCTTAGGCTTAGGCTTAGGCTTAGGCTTAGGCTTAGGCTTAGGCTTAGGCTTAGGCTTAGGCTTAGGCTTAGGCTTAGGCTTAGGCTTAGGCTTAGGCTTAGGCTTAGGCTTAGGCTTAGGCTTAGGCTTAGGCTTAGGCTTAGGCTTAGGCTTAGGCTTAGGCTTAGGCTTAGGCTTAGGCTTAGGCTTAGGCTTAGGCTTAGGCTTAGGCTTAGGCTTAGGCTTAGGCTTAAGGCTTAGGCTTAGGCTTAGGCTTAGGCTTAGGCTTAGGCTTAGGCTTAGGCTTAGGCTTAGGCTTAGGCTTAGGCTTAGGCTTAGGCTTAGGCTTAGGCTTAGGCTTAGGCTTAGGCTTAGGCTTAGGCTTAGGCTTAGGCTTAGGCTTAGGCTTAGGCTTAGGCTTAGGCTTAGGCTTAGGCTTAGGCTTAGGCTTAGGCTTAGGCTTAGGCTTAGGCTTAGGCTTAGGCTTAGGCTTAGGCTTAGGCTTAGGCTTAGGCTTAGGCTTAGGCTTAGGCTTAGGCTTAGGCTTAGGCTTAGGCTTAGGCTTAGGCTTAGGCTTAGGCTTAGGCTTAGGCTTAGGCTTAGGCTTAGGCTTAGGCTTAGGCTTAGGCTTAGGCTTAGGCTTAGGCTTAGGCTTAGGCTTAGGCTTAGGCTTAGGCTTAGGCTTAGGCTTAGGCTTAGGCTTAGGCTTAGGCTTAGGCTTAGGCTTAGGCTTAGGCTTAGGCTTAGGCTTAGGCTTAGGCTTAGGCTTAGGCTTAGGCTTAGGCTTAGGCTTAGGCTTTAGGCTTAGGCTTAGGCTTAGGCTTAGGCTTAGGCTTAGGCTTAGGCTTAGGCTTAGGCTTAGGCTTAGGCTTAGGCTTAGGCTTAGGCTTAGGCTTTAGGCTTAGGCTTAGGCTTAGGCTTAGGCTTAGGCTTAGGCTTAGGCTTAGGCTTAGGCTTAGGCTTAGGCTTAGGCTTAGGCTTAGGCTTAGGCTTAGGGCTTAGGCTTAGGCTTAGGCTTAGGCTTAGCTTAGGCTTAGGCTTAGGCTTAGGCTTAGGCTTAGGCTTAGGCTTAGGCTTAGGCTTTAGGCTTAGGCTTAGGCTTAGGCTTAGCTTAGGCTTAGGCTTAGGCTTAGGCTTAGGCTTAGGCTTAGGCTTAGGCTTAGGCTTAGGCTTAGGCTTAGGCTTAGGCTTAGGCTTAGGCTTAGGCTTAGGCTTAGGCTTAGGCTTAGGCTTTAGGCTTAGGCTTAGGCTTAGGCTTAGGCTTAGGCTTAGGCTTAGGCTTAGGCTTAGGCTTAGGCTTAGGCTTAGGCTTAGGCTTAGGCTTAGGCTTAGGCTTAGGCTTAGGCTTAGGTTAGGCTTAGGCTTAGGCTTAGGCTTAGGCTTAGGCTTAGGCTTAGGCTTAGGCTTAGGCTTAGGCTTAGGCTTAGGCTTAGGCTTAGGCTTAGGCTTAGGCTTAGGCTTAGGTTAGGGCTTAGGCTTAGGCTTTGGCTTAGGCTTAGGCTTAGGCTTAGGCTTAGGCTTAGGCTTAGGCTTAGGCTTAGGCTTAGGCTTAGGCTTAGGCTTAGGCTTAGGCTTAGCTTAGGCTTAGGCTTAGGCTTAGGCTTAGGCTTTAGGCTTAGGCTTAGCTTAGGCTTAGGCTTAGGCTTAGGCTTTAGGCTTAGGCTTAGGCTTAGGCTTAGGCTTAGGCTTAGGCTTAGGCTTAGGCTTAGGCTTAGCTTAGGCTTAGGCTTAGGCTTAGGCTTAGGCTTAGGCTTAGGCTTAGGCT